TTAATATTTTTCAATTTCAGTGAATGCCTCCTCGATTTCTATGCTCCCCTGATATTTTTTTGAAAATTTCGAATTTTTCACATTTCAGTGAATACTTCCTCGATTTTCATGCTCCCCTGATATTTTTTTGAAAATTTAAAATTTTTCAATTTCAGTGAATGCCTCCTCGATTTCTCTGCTCCCCTGATATTTTTTTGAAAATTTCGAATTTTTCACATTTCAGTGAATACCAATTTCGTAACGCAAAAAATAACATTCACTTCGTCGACTGGTCCCCCTGAAGTGAACAAATTTATTTTATTTTCATATTTATTCTGTGTCTGAAAGTTTTATTATCATCTGAAGCGAATTTATGTGAAATAAATCATTGGCTTATGAAAAATATAGAATTTATAAAACAGTCACTCTCCTTCGCATACTTAAAAATCGTAATCACTTCCCTCCTGAAATTAATCTCCATTAACAGGAACCAAGCTCGGACCTTTAATCATATGAATGAGCATTTCTCTCGCAGCAATAGGATTATCTGCTGGTACCTGAAACAAAGATTGTATTTCCTCAAAGTAAAACCAGAAATGTTGAAAAGATTGTAAAATAACTTACGCTGTGACCAGCCCTGTTGATCCAATACATTTCGAAATTTTTCGATTTCTTTTGATATCCCTCAACGACATTGTTAACAATAAGAGGCTTCCTCGGAGAATTTTTCCACTCATCGTCATTCTCCTGAAGTTTTTCCACCCAACTAACAGTTCCCAGGGTTGCGACTATAAAATCCAACTGACCGCTGAATACAAATATCTTTAAGTCGGTATCATCAATTAATTTTTTCACTGTTCCAAACAAATTATTCATTAATGCATCATAATCACGTATCAAAATTTTAAATAATCAACGTACCAATATGAGTCACATTCCTCATAAAATCATTCTCCAAATGATTTAGAACATGATCACTTTGATTGCCCCACGTTACATTGACATGAAGTGCAGCTGATACTTGGGTTTGCATGAGTCTGTCCAGAGGTGTTGGTTCTTCTGAACTCCCGTCTACCCTGACTTTTTCAAGGATGTTATAAAAATCCATACTGCTGGTGAGATTACTGACGAGATTCGCAGTGTCCCAATATAAATTCATGGCTCTTTTCCACGAGCCTTCGTTTGTTGCCCTCTCGGTATCCCGTACCAATATTTCAATAGCCTCTTTACCTCGGGTATCAACTGCACCCTGTGGAAATTAATGATGGAGTCATCCTCTGTGATTATGAATTTCCAATAACAGATCTCGATCGTTGGATTTTTTGAATTGATATTATAATTACCACTGAGAATAGAAATGGAGCCCAAGATCGCATACTGTCTATTGGAGATATCCAAGAGTTTCCTAGCCCGACACCTTTGAGATTACTCTGGATATTTCCCGCCTTCTGTGCCTTGAGTAGAATAAATTTTTTGAATATTTAATTGAAGGATACGTGAAATTGAGAAGAAATGTACAGATTTGTCGAAAAAATTGATCTTTTCATTCAACAATCATAAAAAAAAATATAATCAAAAAGCCTAATGAATTAATCACACAATTCGATAAAATTTCTATTGAAATTTCCAATGGAAAATGTAATTGAATCGATTAATAAGTGGTTAAATACCTTGTACCACTCCAATGCAAATTCTGAGGCCATTTTACCCCCATATGACTGAGAAAAAATATAAATGTCCACATCCTTAAATCCTGGAAATTCAGTCAGAAAGCCCATCATGCATTCCACTAGATCCGTTGCAATCTCCAAATTATTTTTCGCGAATAGATTGATATCGTCAACATAACTGAATCCCGCTCCCACGGGATTGTCGACAAACAGAACATTACAGTCTCGCACCCAAGTCACGTTTCGAAGATTGCCTTCGACATCAATCGGTCCAATTTCTTCGAAATTACCAATGGCAGTGGACGAGCTGCCTGGACCTCCTTGCAACCAAATTATCAGAGGTTTGTCGTAGACGCTGGCGTTCCCATTGACATCCAGCTTATAAGATTCTGGAGTGACATAATAGAGCCACCAAAACATGTGAGCACCAGGTCGCACTGTCACATATCCCCATTCTTGTTCCCCTGGACCAAAACCTTTCTTCCCTGCACCTTGTTGGACACTGGTAGAACCAATCATTCATATCAAACGAGAATAACCAACTATTGACAAATTATCGTCTCTAAGAACTGCGTCGCTATATTTAGGAGGAATATCATGGAAAAGAAAATCTGAGTTTTATGAAGTAGGATAAGTATTGACAGTTGAACAATTGATACTTGTAACAAATCCGTGGAATAGGTCAAGGTCAGACAGGAAATCTATTTCTTAATAATTAATTAATAGTTCTACTAGTGTACTTCATACATCAGCAAACGGCTGAGGCTAAGAAAGAGCACGTACGAAGATAATTCCATGACAATCCAATACTGTTCAATCTCCTCAGTTAGACTTCGAAATTCATACTCAGAGTCATTATCTTCGTGACACACATTGGAGACTGCAGCATCGTTTTATTTTCCAATGTCTATCTCGTAACATTTGCATTATGCAATTGATAAAATTGAAGCAATCGGTGAAGGCAGCACGACGTAGGGTTTGGTAAACCTCCGGTGGTGAGTACTGTTTGGTGGGGAGGGCATCAATTTAGCTTAATCAAGCTCTAACCGTGGTTAACTCAAGGAGTTACTGTCGATATCTTGTCATTTTTTCCAGTTTTTTATGCTTTGTCAGGATTTGGATAAATTAAATATGTAAATGTTATGAAGGAAGAATTCATACCTATCCGGTTTTTTACAAAAAATTTAAACAGAATTTATTTCTCTATTTCTTACAGTGTATTTCTGTAACAACTATTTTGTAACTGTTATGATTAATCAAATAAGTAGGTTTTAACGATTCATTATCTCTCGATGAAAAACATTCAGGTAGATCTCACCGAAATTTTTCATATTTTCAGAGAAAAGAGGAAACCAAAAACGATAGTATAGTAAACAAAACTTATCGCCGCGTACAACTCCAAGAATGTGCTTGCTTTTCTAAGGTAAGGGAATGAAGAAAATACAATTATGTTTGACATGGCTGGTGTGGCCTTAAAAAAAAATGAAACAAAAAACGATAGTATAAAAAAAAAATTATCAACACGTACAATTCCCAGAATGTACGTACTCTCATAGGGTAATAGGAATAAAGAAAATAGAATAATTTGTTTGACTTGGCTTATGTGGCCTTGAAGTGATCATCCGTGCGTGTTGTGTAGATGTGTCCCTCGGAAACGAGGAAATCCAAAATGGTATCGACTTTAGCTGAAGAGAGCGACGGAACTTGTGCCTTCAGCGTTGACCTCTCGATTCCGATATCATCCTCGTCCACATCCTTGATGATCTTAAAAATTTGGGCTTGCTCTGGGTTCAAGCCATTGGCCATAGTCTCGTTGGCTACATCGGTAGCCGCGCTAGCAGCTTCGTTGGAGGAATTACGTGCTGATAGGAGAACTTCCAGGAGATGATTGAAGTATTCCCCATAACTACTCACTGGACGAATAGCGAGAATGAATAAATGTGGAATTTCCTCTCCAGTTTCACGAAAATGTGCATGCACAACTGCAGCTTGCCCGACTTTTACATTGATGGTTGTATCGTCTGATTCCAACCAACGGTAGGCTATGATTTTTGCTGTTTCATCCTCGATTTCAATAGCCAGTTTGGTTGTTGCCTCAACGATTTTTGTGACAACACCAACAATACGAAGAATTGAATTTTGAATTTTATCATAATTTGGCATAGATTGTGGTGGTTCCATCAGTAAGGGGCCAATCATAACTGGGATAATTGCTTTGTTTGCATCTTTCTTTGCATCATCTCTTTGCGTCGTTTGGGCACTTGTATTGTAACTCTCGTCCATAAAACCTCCTTCTCCACCATTTTTCATTCCGCTTCCCCACATTTTTTCACTTGCTTTTTGATTTAATTATTGTTTATTGTTTTTCCGTTTACTTCAACGAAACGACCGTTGGATAACCACGCTGGCCGGCTAATGACGTCTAAACTCATTCGCGCGGGACGCCGGGAACAGGCTTTCACAGCCTGAATATAGGTGATTATGGCGCCAACCTAACCAAATTATATTATTTCAAATTCAAAAATTATGGTATCCACGTTAAAAGTGCCTTTCTCGAAAAATAAAATAAAACACAGAAAAACCTTTTTTTCTCCGTTCTTTGCAGATTCTATTAAACGGGAGAATTAACTAGAATCGTTACTGCCGATGTCTGGAGGAATAAACCGGGTGGAGAATAAACATAATCGAACATGAAATTCTTAATAATTTTCTCTAGCCTTTTTCTTTGGAATGTGCTTTTAAATATTAAGTAACAATTGGATAAAATCAAATGTGGATTGAGTAGTGTTGATAATCAGTGACATTGATAAATTACCAGAAACACTTTGCAATTGCCTTTGGCAATAATATCTCGTTTTATTTTTTTTTAATCAAATTAATTTGGCTGTGACGCAGATAGAACGTTCAAGTCAAAACGAGCTATATTTTTAATAATCGGATTCTGAGGTTCATGCGCGGATTTTTTCACAACAATGGACTGTCTTCATGTTGTAATGAGATTTGTAACGGTAAAAGAATTCTAACGACAGTATCAATTGCATAATGATATCAAACTACTTGAAAATCATCATGCAGACAACTGGAGCACTTCAAAATAGAAAATTGGTTTAATTAGACTTTATATAGGGATGGATCCTCCTCCTGCTCTTCAGTCTTAATCGTATTCTCGGGGATGTCCTTTATTTGAATAAAAGTTTGATATCGAGAAATGTTCCAGAAAGTATTGCTTTTGAATTTCATCACAGCTATCACAACTGCGCAAATTGAATCTAATTATTCTAATAATAACCGAGCGAGTTCTTTGAAAAGTTTCAGCAGGAGTGGGCTAGGAGCGATGGGAAGTAATTGCAGAAGCTTGAATTTCTGTCGATTCATTGGAAAACTCAAATCCAATGGTAGTAGCTATGACCGTGCGATCGCTTCTTCGGAAATTCGTAAAAGCAGAGGTGAAGATACGAGAATTTTTCCGAGAAGTTATTATGGAGGTGCCCCTGCATTGTATCCGTAAGTGTAGAATGAAAGAGTAAAATTAAGGCTTCAAATTTTTTTTCTAAAATTATATACATATACAATAGACTTCCATCATAATTGTGTGCATATGGGCCTGTAGGAGGAGCGAATTTAAAAATCAAATCAAAAGCCAAATAATATGACGTTTGTCTTCATTTACCTCAGATTTTTCAAACTTGAAACGTGATAGAGTAATAAACAAACGAAATTGAATTATTGATTTTAAATTATGGTTTTTAATACGTTTCCTTGTATTTTCTAGAGCATTCGACTCAATCAGTATTCTAGCATCACTGGCCTTCCTCGCTTTTCTATTACAATCGTTTGCAGCACTTTTCGATAGATCGAGATCGATCATTCCTGCAGTGATAAGCAGCAGAGATTCCTCGAGTGAAAATGAACCCCCAGATCTCCCTGAATTGATTTTACGAGCACTAGATGAATACGTACGTATCAAATGTCGCCGACTGAATCTCAAGGATATTAATCTTTTTTGAGGATTTCTTGATAAATAGAAGAAATATTTGGTTTCAGTTTTTAAACAACGACATGGATGGCAACGACGAGGAGTCCTCCAAAAAAAAATCAATAAAAAACAGACGTTGAATGGAAATAACAAAATTATTTAGTCAATAAATTTAATTCCCCACAGCGTCCTTCTTCAAGTGTAGTAAATTCTTAACAGCCTCTCTATATTTATTAACAGAAAATTGATCCTCTCCGGTGTTAATTAAATCAGCCACCGCAACTTTGTACTCAGTAACGTGAGGGATTGTGTCGTAGTTGAGGTCCTCTGGGGGTTTGTTTGGCCATGAGTAAATAGTCACCAGGGTTTCGCGACTCTTATTCGTGTCCCAGTCGTAATACTCCATATCGACGAGTTGTTTTTCAGCCTCCCACGGCTCCACACGCTGTAAATAATAAGTTAAAAGTAAATTAAAATGTTTTCCTTATAAGTTGATATACGTGCTTTTTTTGAAAATTTAGTTAATGGTGAAATATTGGCGGCGTATCAATATAATGCAATGCTATATTTGGAGCAGCTACATAAAATATAAAACCTACCCAGGCTTCATGATAAACGGCGGTGAGAAGATAATCAGCATATTCAAGATTTTGTTTTCTCGTGGGACACCTGTCAGTAACGATTGAAATAATATTACTCTTAGGATCGTACCGAGGCCCTAGAAGCCTCAATAATTTATCCTTGGCATGCTCATTCAGCTCCAGAGCCGACAGTTTCACTCTCAAACTGACAATCCTAGCGAGAGGATCTCTGATGGTTGGAGAGGAGTAGCAATAATCCGACGTGATAACTTCAAGTGGAAAATGTTTTTCGCACTTGTCGTCGTCCTCGAGTCCCACTGGCCACTCTGTGCAAAATTGCTTGAGTGCTTCGCACTGTCTTTTGATGGCTGGAGGTGTCAGATGGAGGAAATTAGGGATTTTCATGAGCTCAGTGTTTGCGAATTTGTCTGGAGGAGCTTCGTTTTTCTTGGGATAGCCCATTCGAACGGGAAGTGGCACTGAAGCTGGGTGAAAATTCCTTGGACCTGGCCACACTGAGGGCCAGTCCTGGTCCGTTGCCATCTCGTTGGTACGAGGCGGTGGAATTTTCGGTCGCTCGATTTTTTTTCTGGTATCATCAAGTTTCTTTGGGATGAATCTCAGGACACGAAATTCGCCTGATTGGATAATTAAATTTAAAATTTACCCAAAAATTGTGATTTAAAAATTCATTTCATGAAATTTATATATTTTCGATTTTAACACGTGCTCAGTCATTTCCTATTGTGCAATATTATCAAGAACAGGCGTTTAGAAAAAAATATTGAATATTCTCGTGGAGTAATCGGTTATTTAATTTCTCATGAAATCACGAATAGATGTTGGAAATTTTAATTTGGGGTTATATTTACCAATCATCCCATCTTCTTGAATGGGCATTGGAGTAGATGGCAATGAATACGCCACACTCTGTAATTTCGATGGCACCGTAAATCCATTTCTCTTACTCAATCTAATTATCACTGACATTTTGCTAATTAAAAAAACACTGTTCTTTAGAGAAGAGTGTTTTTCTCTCCTACATGTTCACAATCCCCAGCGCACACAGTCCGCGCAGCGTTCCAATTCCCATTTCCCAATTCAAATCACATAAGAGCTCATTACTCATATTTTTCCTTATCTTTCACCGGAAATTCCTTTTCCGCCTCGCACAATGGAGAAAGGGGTGAAGCAAAATTCTCAGTAGTGAAAATTCATCAATAGCAGACACAAGTTGAACATGAATAATCCCCAAGTGTCTCCTCAACAAATTGAGAAAGCGACGGTGGAGATGCCAGGCAAGATAATTGTCCAATATCCACAAGTTATGGAGACAATTTATTTATCAGAAGACGGAGAAGATGTCTCGGTGTACCCTAAAATCGTCGGGGCGATTCCCAAGAGAGTCCCAGAACCAGAAGATGATTATGCATTGATAGATAACGAGGAGGACAGTGAAAATGATTACGAAGAAGGTAGGCCAACCCCACCAACACCTGGACACATAAGAAAGAGCCTAGTAGACGAACTTTTCCTTTTAAAAAAATCAAAATTAAATATATAAACTAAAAAATGAAAACTTAATAAAAAAAAACAGTTTCAAGGTATTAAAAATGACAATGGTTTTAGAAATCTCAGAGTAACACTTCCAATTTTCGCATGATTTCGGATAATTTTCAATGGAAACATAAACCGTCCATTTAATGGGTGGTGTTCATTCACTGGGGAGGTCGCCCTTACGAGAATTCAAGTATCATCTGTTCCTCATTTTACCGCCTCTGAATCATGAGAGTATACAGTTGTGTGCAGGTACTATACACCCACCCATGAGCTCAGTCAGAAGTTTTATTCTGAACCGGTGACGTATATATTTTCGTATGCCGTCATCATTCTGTTTTTATTCCTGCAGTAGCTATGGCGTCTCCCAGACCGAAATCACCTCGTACTCCACTATCTGTTAAAAAAGAGGACAAAGAGGAGAGTTTCTGGGACAAGATTGGAACTCTAGGACGCAAAAAGAGGATAAAGGAAGGTATACCCCGAGATTTTTGAGATAATTAAATTTTTTAAAAGGTTATTAATGACGGAGGAATTTCCTTATAAGGTCAGGTGCTCCATAATGATTGCCCAACAGTTTTGTAATGAAACCATGAGAGAATTCAGTGATAAAGCGAGGATTTCTGTTCCACAGTGCAAGAGGTTCAAGAGGAGGGAAAATATGCCATCGATTCACCTGGATTAGCTGCCAATCCGGACAGTCTTCCGGAGGATTACGCCCTCGATGAGAATGAGGAACGATCGATGATCGAGCCGAGGTCCCTCGAAGATCCTAAAGTGCAGGAGCTTATTTTCGTGCTCATTGAGTGGATAAACGATGAACTTGCTAATCACAGGATCATCGTTAAGGATATTGTGGAGGACTTGTATGATGGACAAGTGCTCCAGAAACTTATAGGTATTCGAGCTAAACTCTATCATAAACATTGACGTACGATAGTTACTACTTGTATGAAAAGAGTGCGATGCAAATTTAAAATCTCTCTCCATCATTTTTTTATTGGAAAATGCTTTTGGGAGAGAATATTTAATGGGACACACCATTTTCCTTCGACTTTTAAAAAATAATTGTGGAATTAAAATGAATGATTTCTCAATATTACTTATTCATTTTTTAAAGACTAAATTTTTTCGACTAATAAAATTGAGCTTTTCCCATATTTGCCAGAAAAATTGACAGGAGACAAATTAGACGTGCCCGAGGTGACCCAATCAGAAGAAGGACAAAAGCAGAAACTGGAGGTCGTTCTCTCCGCAGCAAATCGCATCCTGGGGCGCTATCCCCCCTACAAATGGAGCGTAGAATCCATACATTCCAAAGATATTGTACCAATTCTCCACCTCCTGGTGGGCCTTGCTCGTCAGTACCGTGCACCAGTGCGTCTCCCAGAACGTGTGGCAGTGCAGGTAGTTGTCGTACGGAAAAAAGACGGCCAACTTATTCACCGCACCGTGCGAGAGGAAATAACATCAACATACGACGATCTTGGAATGCGCTGTGAACGGGACGCATTCGACACGCTATTTGACTCAGAGCACGACAAATTGGCTATTGTAAAGAAATCACTTGTGACATTTGTGAATAAACATCTGAGTAAAGTCCACCTGGAAGTAACGGACCTAGACACACAGTTCCATGACGGTGTCTTTCTTACTTTACTCCTTGGTTTGCTCGAGGGTTTCTTCGTGCCACTCGGTAGCTTCCATCTGACCCCAAAGACTCTTGATCAGAAAGTCCACAATGTGTCATTTGCTTTCGATCTAATGCAGGACGTAGGCCTGCCAAAACCAAAGGCAAGACCCGAGGACATCGTCAATCTAGACCTGAAATCAACTCTCCGAGTTCTTTACAATCTTTTCACCAAATATAAAGAAGTCAATTGAAATGTTTAATTTGTCGAAATATGTGCCTTCGAATTCGTGAAAATGTTTTCTTAACCAGTAGAGACTGCCAACTTTACACAAATCTATTTAATATTTTTTTAATATCGATTTATTAATTGTATTTAGGAGACTAATGAATTTGTCATGACGTACGGATTGTACAGATGTATTTTAACAGAAGAGAATAAATGTATTTAATTATTACACGCATTAATTACATTATCAATTTATTCTCCCGAGTTGATCTATTATTCACAATAATAATAGACATAATGGGAGACAATGGAGAAGTTTCTTCATGATGGAGTTAGAATAAATGTTTTCGAGGATTAAATAAAACCGGAAATCGATTCTAATATCTTCGAGTGATTTCTATAAAAAATGAAATAAACTTTATTCTTTTGCTTTTCCACGAGACAGAACCGTTTTATTTATGGATGGAAACGCAAACGGAGATGTTTCCGGGACACGCGACGTCGCTGAGTTGGACGCCTTATCTGGATATTCTTGCAGTCTCCGTTCAACCCTCGAGCCGTCTCCAACGTGTTCAAGTCGCCAGCACCTTCCCCTCGGACGAATTCCTGTTTGATTATATCGCTTGACTTTGTTGAAGAATGGAAACGACGGAGGTGGAAACTAAGTCCGAGGCGATGAGGGTCTCCTGGCGGACTAATCTCTTCGGGGTTTACGCCAAAGTGTTCAAAGTCATGCTGTCGAGGTGGAAAGAAAAAGCGGAGTCTACCGAGGAGGAAGACCGTGAAAAAGAGCTGGAGGCCCTAGTTTTACCCAGTAACGAGGAATGGAGGTATCAGGTGTACTATCGTCTAGTCGATCTCCAACGAGAAATCGATTCTGGACTGGAAATCACGTGAGGAAGATCAAATTTCACTGAAAACCATGATTTACACATCAACAACAATATCTACTTCATGGACAAATAACGCAATTCAAAGCAATGTATTTCCACATTTGATTTTTATACGCGGTGGAAGATTTTTCATATAAAATTTCGTACATTTTTTCATTAGTTCCTTTCATTGTTCATTTTGTTTTTTAAAACAACAGATAGAAAAGAGCTGTTGAGGTGCCGGTATTGAATTTTATTTTCGCGGTTCTAGGAGAATTTTCGTGAAAATTTATTTCCCCGTAGATTGAGGATGGGGGAGGAAGGAGAGACCCTTGAAGAACCGAGAACCGTGATGTTCAAGCAGATGTCCCTGTCGAAGACTTTTGAGTGGGAACCCACTGGTTCAAGCATGTCCTTTTGGGTGGATGTCAAGAGACGAAGTGTAGATCAATTTGATTCCTCCGTGGACACGGGATCGATGACAGATGAAGTAATCGAACCTTTGTGGAGAGTCAATGACATTCTATTGGCTGCCAAAGTCCTTCAGAAAAGGTTCTTATCGCAAGTGATTGCGTTTACAGATGAGGCAGAAATGAGACGAGTATTCGGACTGACTTACGATGTTCTCAGATGTAAGTCCACAGAACAATATTGCCCGTCTTCAGGAACTACTCACTCTTTTTGATCGATTTTTTTAAGTTTCAATAACTCCTGATCGATACCTATGAAACGGACGCAGAATTTATTTTGGACGATTCATTTGGATGTTTTTAGATAAACAAGTACTGAACCAAACTCTAGAAGACTCGGATTTCTGGAAAAAGTACCGCACCTTCAGGAGTCGAGACAGAATCGTCTGGTTGTTGCTGTATGACATGCAGGGGAGGAAGTTCTCACGGAGTCCCCAGGTGGCAATTCAAGAAGCTCGAGACAATGCATTCAAGGAAGCTGGCATCCAAGACATAGAGGATGCCCTCGTCGAGAGAAAAACGCGCTTGGCTGCGAGTGTTTCGCGATTGCGAATCGGAGGATCTGCCCTCACCTTAGAGCACCTGCTGCCCATCCACTTGAGGAACTCCACCGGAGTTTCCTGGACGGATGAGAATGCAATAGCTTCGGGATGGGTCAACACACTGAAGATTCCCAATAAAACCGATTTCATCAGCGAGATGTCGAAGCTAAATCTGAGATTGGCCATCAGCAACGAAGATCTGGGGGATGACAGTTATATATTCGACCCGGTATGCCCCAAGGTCGTGAATTTTCGAGAGAGAACTCGGGAGAGAATCGCCATGTCGACGTTAGTAGAGAGAAAGAGTTTTATTTTTTTGGAGAGAACTCTCTGTCTGGGAGCCGCTGCGCTGGTGCGTGCTGTCAACAAGGGAAAATTGTGCGGCCCAATAATCCTCACACATCCCATTGCTCCAAGACACACGGGCTACCTCGCAGGACTTTTTGCGGATATCGAAGATGCTGGCAGGCTACTAGCTTTTGGAGCAAGTCTTCAGCGAGCCGAGTACGAGAATTATCTGCAGGAGTTGGGCTTCACGGAGCGCGAGGTTCGTTGAAAAATAAATTTAGAAGAAAAACTCTTTTGAGAAACTTTAAAAACGAGAAGAATTGAAAAATTAATTGAATTCTGATGAATATCGATAAAAAAAATAATTTAAAGTGTTTTTTTTTTCATTCATATGGTTATCTATCATCATATATATTTTAAAATATGATGAATGGAATTGCTGCAGGTTCGAATATTTGCTGAGAAATACTCGGAGGCTCCCGGTTTCTCTGAGATGGAACGAGCTACGATAGTCCTGGCCACTCCTCCATGCAGCTACACAGGAATCAGAGACATAGTGGACCTGTCAGTAGCACGTGGAGGTGACACTGATCTCCTAGAATCCCTGACGACCATTGACGACAAGTCTCAATTGGAGAGACCGAAGCGACTCCTCGCAGAGCAGCTCTCCAGTCTGAAATACGCTCTGATGAGACCGAATGTTCAACTCCTGATTTACCAAGTGCACAGCGTTCTACCCTCAGAAACGACGGAGATGGTGGAGCAAGTGGTCGATTACGCCAATGGAATAGCAACAGACAAGTACGCAAAAGAGCATACAAAGCGAAGAACACCGAAGGACACTAGTCCGAAAAGTGCTGGGAGATCTTCGAGAATTGGAAAGCAATCGTCGATGCATCAGGACTCAAAAAGTCGCTCTCACGAGGAAGAGGAAGACGAGGAAATAGCTGTTGTCACGGATATTCATGTTCCCGATAGTGATCTGTTTGAGATCGGTCGTATGGCTGATCTGAATGTCGACGAATCGAGTGTAACAATCCCTGAGGATGAGAATGGCTGTTACCTGGGGCTGGTGAGACGCAAGGAGATGATGCAGTTCAATTCCCTTTTCATGATCAAGGTCGCTGAGTCTCGGGGCCTCTTCGGAGATCCCAATACGAAGCCCAAGAGTCCAGAGCATCCGGAGCCCCCAAAGGACGAGCCCAAGAGCCCAGGTGGTGGAAGGAAGAAGAAGAGGAAGGGAAAGAAGAGTATCAGTTGGGGGAGGATAACAGCTCCAACTCACGCGTTCATATTGAGGTCCGATAACCGAGGCACCAGGAGAACGTCTGTTGATGACGCCTCCAGTGGATTCTCCTGGGGAAGGGACAGGCTGTCCTGTCCTAAGTATAGTCAACGAATTGCGAGGAACGAGTGCTCTCTCAGTGCTCAAGTACGAGAGACAAGGCGAACCGACGCCAGGAGATGGTGGGAACAGTCCGCTGCTTTTCTTCTTCACGCTGCCAGATGCAAATCCTGTAAATTTCGGATTTTTCACACCGATCCGTGGACTCGCCGGGTTTTATATCCCCCGAGAGTGCAGCGGATCGTTTTCACTGGGGAAATCTGAAGATTCCAGGATGACGGGGATTCGTAAACAGTTTTGTAGAACTTTTTTGTACCATGGGGGATCGATATAATCCGCAATGAATTTCTAGAATCTTAGCGTCGAAATCGAATCGCGTGACGAGTTTAAACGACTTGGGGAGGAAATGCTATCACTGCGGAGACAAGTTAAACGATTTTTCTCGCTTTGGCATTTTGGGCTTGTGGTGGGCAACACTTTCAAGAATGTTCTTGATGGCGGAATTTTTTAGGGGTTTCAACTGGTCCGCCCCTTCGGATTCAGGTGAGAAATTGATTCTTACGGATGGATATAATAAGGAAAATAAACAGGAATTGAAGGAACCAAGAGAAAAGTTTGTAAATAAAATATTCTATTAAATAGATTATTTAAACTTCATATTTACGTCGTAATGTCTAATAAGTGTAATCATCTGGTGATTAATTCTTTAACTCGGATTTGTAGAAAGAATCTTTTCATGTTATTTGTAAAGTCTATAATTTCTGATATCTATTTATATTTAATAAAATGGTAAAAATATATTTATTTCACTTTATGAATTGGTTACTGGATTCATCTGGAGTCTTAGCCGAGAAATATAAAGAAAAAAAAGTTATGTTTGAAACAAAAGAAATTGTGAGGAGTAGGCAGTAACGAAATTGAATATTAACCAAAAAATATTGAAGGAATTATGTTGCGAGGAAAATTTCTTCTCCAACTTCCCCGATTTTTCAGTCGGACCACCACTAATGCTGCCGCTAAGGAAGCCACCATGAATCTGGTAAAAATAAATAACGGAATTGTTTTGAATTTCTAGGTGACACGGGTTCATTGAATTCAAATACGTTTTTAATTTTTCTAGAAATTCGGACATCTGTTCAAACTAGATAAATCCCCAGCAGAATCGGTAACCATAACTCTAGAGGAAGCCACTTCAGCACTTAAGATGATGATGTACATCCGTCGGATGGAGAGGAAAGCAGCTGAACTCTATCTGGCTCGTTTCATAAACGGCTTCCTTCATTTATATTCAGGACAGGTATCATCTATCAATCCAACTAATCTCACTCAATATAAAATATTAAAAAGCCCTAAAGTAAAACAGACTGAATAGTACAATTGTACGTGACATTTCCCTCCGTTCAATTCTCCTCAGCCTTCGCAAAATTTCAGATATTTCTTTTGAAACGGATTTTTTAATATCTTCATCTTCAGGTCCAGGCACTGATATTAATTATTCTACTTGCAATATTTTTGTTAATATTTTTTACATGAATTAATAATCTATTAATTTATTAGGATTCTTAATAATTATTCTAATAATTATTTCAAGTGGGAAAAAATCGATAATAATAATAGATGTATATTGAATTGGATAATAATAGCAGCTGCAATAAATTAAATAAAAACATGTCAACACAAGAAATTAATAATTCGAAAAATCGTGGAATCACAATCTGTTTTCTAGCTAGGGAGGAGAGTTATTTATTAAGAGTATATGGTTGAATTGAAGTTTGTTTTAGAAGAGCCTGAATCTGCCAGAATTAATTGACCCAAAAATGTCATGAACTTGAAGGAAGCGGTGGCAGTTGGTCTGAAGATGTCCCTGGACGATGGTGATTCGGTAATAACGGCATACCGTTGTCACGGAATCGCGTGCGTCTTCGGAGTATCTGCGCGAAATGTGTTGGCCGAATTAATGGGACGTAAAACTGGTGTTGCAAGTGGTAAAGGGGGATCAATGCACATGTACGCCAAGGGATTTTACGGTGGAGATGGAATAGTGGGGGGACAGGTGAGTTCAGTAAGAATAGTGTAATAATAGTGTAATAATAGTGTAATAATAGTGTAATAATAGTGTAATAATAGTGCATTTCAATATAATCGCGGGAATTCCTTTTTTTGGACTCTCATCGGTCTTAAAATCTTGTGCCTATAGAACAATATTTTTTGTGATATCTTTTGTGATATCTTTTCTATCGAATTTTCAGGATAAAATAATTAATTATTTATCATTTCCCCAGAAATTCGCTATTTAGTAGGCTTCTGGAATTAAAATAGAATTGAAACTTGAATAATTGAAAATGACACTGTAGCTGAGAGAATGAGTCATAACACAATTAATATTTTTTGTCGATTAGGTTCCTATCGGTGCTGGAATCGCTTTTGCCCATAAATATAAAGGCGAGGCAAATGTCTGCTTCACTCTCTATGGAGATGGTGCAGCTTCTCAAGGGCAAATCTACGAAGCCTGGAACATGTCCAAATTGTGGAATCTCCCTGCTGTATTCATTTGCGAGAATAATCGCTATGGAATGGGAACTTCTGTAGACCGTCACTCTGCTAATCCTGCGTTTTATACCCGAGGAGATAGTATTCCAGGAATTAAGGTACTGATACTAACTCTCGCCTAGTCCTTAAGATGCGGCTAGATTTTCTCTCAATTTTAGTCAGAGAAGACAACTTTACGACACGTCAGTGACCATTTAAAAAAAAATCCTGAGATAATTCTAAAATTCGAAGGAAAAATTCAGCTCGACAAGTCATTAAAGATTAACTAAAAGAATCAGTTGCTCATTAGGCAGATGGAATGAATCTTCTGGAAGTCCGTGAGGTCTGTAAATTCGCTCGGGATCATGCCCTGAAAAAAGGCCCAATAATAATCGAGTTTGAGACATACCGGTACTTCGGTCACAGTATGAGTGATCCTGGAACGGCCTATCGCAGTCGAGACGAAATAAAAGGTGTCCAGGAGAATCAGGACCCGATAGAACTCCTCATTAAATTCTCAGTCTCCAATAATCTAATGACAGAATCCGAAATTGCGGTAAGAACTTACGGTTATGTGCTAATTAATTACTAATTAATTACTGCTATAAATGTTCAACTGAATTTTCGTGGTGGAATTTCAATCCCAGAGTAAGTATTCCGGAAGAATTAAAAAACGTAATTTTTATCTATGTATGGGTGTATAATACCCTTAAGAAGAAGAATTAATGAAATTTTCAATTTTGATGAACTCGATGCAATTGGAAATTTTAATAAGTAAAGGAATTCCGGTGTTCCTGCCCGTTGAAATATCGGAATTTCCCTGAATTCTCAGTGAAGCTGGAAATTTCATGATTTTTCCCTGGCGAATTATATTCACCGTTAAAATATAATTTTTTTTCAAACCGAGCTATTCCCCGATTCCTTGATTGTAACCAGGAGCTGCAAAAAACGACAAATAAGCAAGTGGACGATGAACTAGAGCAAGCGAAATCAGATCCGTGGCCGGAACCCGAAGACATAGCATCGTCGCTGTACGTGAAGCCACTGGAGAAGACACGTGGGAAAATTCCGTGGGAGCTGCACTAATTTGGCAAGTGATGCATACCCAACGAAATAAATGGCCAATAGTTGATTGACAATTTGAAACAATCAATCGAAAAAACGTTATACGATGTATTAGAAGACGTCAGTACTTGACACGAATTAAAAAGCCTCGCCTGAGTCATACCAATGTGCAATAGTATAACGTAGATGTACATTAGAAATGAGGAGAAGGGATGAGAAGTACTTGACTGCATACCGAGACGTTTCTGTGTTACGTGTGACGTATGAATCTTTCGTGAGGCCAGTTGTGGTGATGGGCTTTTTTCTTCTTCCCTCACCCATAATTTTGATTTTTTTTCTCATATTTTTTCTCTCAGCGGGAGTCGCGCTGAGTAAACGCACCTCGCGTGTCTCGTTTCTTATTATGTGAGAGTCAACGCCTGCGACAAGTGCATCAACTCTCTCTTAATTTATTATTATTTTAAATACGTCACTTAGTGTTGTTTTCGTAAGTGAAGACTCGGTACTAGAACGACTGATTAATCTACTAATGAGGCGGTGTTATCGATGTCAATTAAAATAGCGGAGATGACGGGAACGAGAGGCGTTGTCCGCTCTTCATGAAATTAATAAAGACTATCGAAGGACTTCCGGACGTCAGGGTTACTGATAAACAGGGAATACCGGGGATTTTATCGGTCCCGGCATCCGGTGCAAACCTCAATCCTCTGTTTGATGAAAATATTGTATTTCACTCGAGTTATTATCGCTGATGAAGACATATTGAAGCTAAGTAATGTATGAATTGCATGAGTCGGCAGTGTTTTATACCGACTCTCAGTTATGTGGATGGGTTGTGTGTCAATGACGTGGGTTCGAGGATTATCACCTGTGAGGATTTAGTAAATATTATTGGAGATGGCCATTGATGATGATCTAGTCAACGTACTTCGCGGTGAGTTTATTCAACATTCACTATCTTCATTACCTGTATTTACTTTTACCTACAGCAAACGAGAACCTTGATGCATTTATTTCAATGAATTCAGTAGCGTTTTTACTGATGCAGACAAATCTTGAAAATATTTTTGTATTCTGTGTTCAAGTGTTTCGACTCAAGTTTTTTATTTGGGATATTTTTAGAGCTCGTGGAGTTCTTGGAAACATTGTGCGATGCTAAGCTACCGGATTCACTGGAGAATATTCGATCTGATTTGCTCAGAAGATCGAGAACGAGTCTAGGAGTTCATATTCCTAAGTCGACCTCACCCGAGCCATATCTGGAGATGAAGCCGGGAAAGGGAAAGGGAAAGGGGCTGATACTTCCGAAGCTGAAGAATTTAGATGAAAATAATTTAACAGAATATATTGATGCTGACCATCAACCTCCACTAGTGGAAAAGCCCTCGGAGTGTCAGAATGAGTACGAGAGTTTTGCGAGTCCGAGTCCTCCGGTGGCGATTGAGAGGAAAGATCAGGATGAGCCTGATGAGCAGCTCAAGACAATTTACAGTGCTTTTTCGGCCGAACAGACGAAGAGTAAATGTTACAAGTGGGGACCACTGCAGCAATTGCGAGACGAGAGGAATATTTTCATGAAAGTTGTGCTGCGAGAACGACCGTGTTGGGTTGGTAAGGGCCAAAAAACTTGATTCAATCAATTTAAAACGAGTGCCATCTTGCTCTCATTTTTTTATACTACGATTCAATCAGGATAACATCGAAACTAATATATATAATAATTTTAATCGACAATTGGCATGTTTCGAATAACAATTTTTCTAATTATGAGAAACTGTGTGGTCACATGGTTTAGGTACATGGTTCGGAATTTGTTGAAATGTCAGAGACAAAGTTGAATTGAAATGGTATGTGTCATGTATTTTCCAGGCCTGGTTGGTACTTACTTGCTCATCTACGATAATAAAGACTCGAAAAAACCCAGAGAGATCTCCTCAATTCGTGGCTTTTCAGCCCGTCCAGCTCCTAGTCTCCTGATCGGTGACTCTGACCGGTCGAAATCAGCCTTCGAGATCTTCTGTCCAGGAAGCAAAACGCTCCAGTACATCGGACGAGCGCCGAAGGACATGGAGCAGTGGGTAGCGGCGATAAATCGTATAGGGACTGGCGTTCAGACTGATAAATCTAATACGGAGATGCAGAAAACTCTCCTGGAGCAACTAGTACCCAGTTTCGACTCAAATTCCACCATCTCCGAGGAGCAGTACCAGGACATTGGCCAATTGGGAGAGACCTCAAAGGGAGGGAAATTCGTGGAAAAACCGAAGGAGCAAAAGGGAGTGGACAAAGACGAGAAACCCCAAGAAAAAATAGCGAAGACTGTCTCGAGTCCACCTCCTCTCCCCGCCAGAATTCCCCGGAGGCTTCCATCACTCCCTCAGACTCCTGTGTCCCCCGTTCTCGCACCTGAGGATATCGCCGAGGGAAAGGACGATATATACTACACGATTGAAGACATGCAGGACGGTATGACGTACATCAATCTCAAGCCCGCTCATCCACACAACAAAATTCCTCCTCCAGTGGAGAAGACAGACCTGGAAGTGTACGACGACATCCAGGCCAATTCGACGTCAGAGGCAAATTTAAATTCAAATAAAAATCTCAAGAGTTCCGATGAACAATTGGAGACATACGACGAAGTGGGATCAGCAGAGTCAAAGAAGGAGAACTCGAGGGAATCCCCGAAGAAGAAATCATTCTTCGACAGATTCAAACGCCAGAGAGAATCCCCCAAGAAAGAAGACCATAAAAAAAAGGAGGAACTGAGTGTAATCGAATCTCCGAGGATCGTCGACCTGGAGCTTCCAACGTACGATGATGTAAGAGGAATTTCCCCTGGGTTGGATACAAACGAGGAACAAGAAAATTACACGTGCCCTCCAGCTCCTCGTCCAGTTTTCTCGAGTCCAATCGAAGAGGAGATTTACGACGACATCGGCCACATGCGTGAGAACGAACGAGTTGAATCATCTTCCAACAATGATAATTGTGAGCTTGAGCATTACCAAGTGCCCAAGGCTCAAGACCCAATTGACCCCCGACAATTGAACGTGACGTGTGAGGAAGACATCTACGATGATGTTGCCATTCGGGATCAGTTCAGAGCGAGGCAACGCGACTCTGCATGCTCCTCCTCATCCTCTGAGAGGGCTGTTAACACAGTGACTAAGGCCTGGAGTAAATTCTCCAGTGGCAAGAGGAATAACGAGAAGAATGGACTGAGGAAAAATGAGAGTGAAGAGAAGCTCGAAGGGGGAGAATCGGGAGAGGATGGAAACGATCCTAAAGTCAATAAATTTCACAAACTTAAGAGTAAAATGGAACACGCCTTGAATATCACTGGAAAACCACCAATTCCACATATCAATAGGGATGATGGTCATTGATTCATTAATTATTGAGTGATTAGTGAATTAAGGCAGTAGTAAGTGATGTTAATTTTATTTCGATAATAAAATTTGTTTTTCTAATAAATTATATTATTGCATTTAATTTTATTGAGCTGACAATTACAAGGCAATTTTCATTCGCGGGAGAGCTTCAGTTTGTTTCAGTTTTTTTTATTATTTACTGCAACAATTGCTCCCTTCGATCATTTTAGCGAATATTTCTGATGCTAATGTTTTTGTCCGGTTTAAGAGTCTCACTAGGATCTCTGAAGATGCATCGAACGTTTTAATTCCTATTTCCTGATACTCTTTTACTGGCAGTTTTGTTTGAACCTGGAGATACGTGGTAAATTGATCGGAGAGAGGTTGATTAAACCTTGGGAGGAGAATTATCGCGAAGACTGCTAAAAGTCCCGAGAAAATAATAAATTTGACGATCGGAAAGACTATCCCGCAGAGGCTCTTGTAAACACCTAAAATCATAATATCAAACAGTGAAATGAGTCAGAGGAGAAAGAATGATAACACCCGAGAATTGTTCAATTTCTTCTCGTGTATAAATAAATTGATGATTCACCTCTTGATGATGATTCATTCGATTTGCTCTTGCTCTGACCATTGGACTGAGTTCTGTGAGGCGTAACAATTTGGTGACTTGCTGGAAGCTTCATATCAGCCTTCTTCTGATTCTGTTTCTCATCCTTGGAATTATTCGTCTTCTTCTTCTTCTTGCTCTCGTTTTTACTCGTTGCAACAGGTGCAGTGGCAGCTGTCAATGCGTCATTTCTTCTTTTTTTCTCTTCATCGACTTCTAGTCGAATATACTTCAGGTATGAAACGATACTACGAGCACACTGTTGGCATTGGATGGTATTGTTGCATGGGCCGGCTACAACCGCAACAGCAGCTGTCAATGGATTGTCTTTTAAATCCAGCCATTTAAGATTCTTTAAATCCCCCATGCTCAAGGGTAATCTACTGATCTACAGACAAACATTCTCAATCAATACGAAATTTCTAATCAATTTCTAATTGCAGGAGAAAAATTGTTTAAAATCGAACCGACTCCTTATTATCTTAGTTAATCTCACTATCAATATTGTTATTTCATCAACCATTCTTTGCTCATAAATAAATGCAAGAACTCCTTTGGATAATAGTGGATTATTATTTTATATATGACGCGTCAAAAAATTGATCGATCTGATTTTTTTATTGATTAAAATAAATTTCAGGCATTAAATGTTACACTTCACACGAAACACGAGATTAAAGCATGATTTCACAGATATTTTTTTATAAAAAAAAAGATGATATAAAAAATTGATAAATGATTGAATTCAGTAAATAAAAGGACCTGCTATTCACCTGGTTGCTGTACAAGTCCAAATGCTTCAATTGTTTCATCTCTCCAATATTCTTAGGTATTTCAGTCAACATATTTTTACTGAGATCCAGTGTAACAATGTGGCTTAAAGTAACAATAGTTTGCTGCAAAAAAAAACACATTAGATGTTAGGCAAATAATAAACAAATGTATAAAATGACTTTGATTAATTCCGAGTGATAGGAATTTTAATACTGATCTAAATTGAAAAAATGAAATCTGCTCGATGATTATTCATTCGAATTAATACTCACAGGAATGGATACCAACAGATTATACGACAAATCCAAGTGTGAGGCCTTTTTAATGGTTGACTGAAACAAAACAAACAGTACATACAAATTCTTCAAAAATAGAATACAAGATGCATCTGCTTACTTACAATCTCTTTAACAGGTACATCTTTAAGCTCACATCCGCTCAGATCCAGTGTCTCGTCTTCCAGTTTATCTTTAACTTTGATCTTAATTGCCATTTTCACGTGAAGTAAAAGATAAATGAAAAATAATTACTAGTTGTCAATGAATTGCTCCAAACTCCTGAGCATTCATTAAACGTCTAACCGGTAAAGCGATAACCTTGATGCCCACGTAAGCAAGAATGTTGCAGGCAGTTTTTCATGTATCGACGTTCAACACAAGTAAAAATTTGACAACACAAAATAAAAGCAGATGTAAGTAGCCCTCATCATCATAATCACCGGCAAACATTGGCGTCACCGTCCATTCCCACATTCATGTGTAATCATTAAGAGTTTGAACATTTGTGTTCAAGCCCCGCCTCGGTGATAGGAATTGATAAGATTAATTAGCCATATATAGACTGCAGTGCCAACGCCTCTGCTTTTAAACGCATTTAGCAGCTCATATCCGACAATTTCGCTCTCGAGTTTTCACGAAGAGTAAGAAACTGAAAAAAACGTAGTCATGGCGTCAGAAGTGCCCGCTGTGCTGCAAAAACTTTATGGGTAAATATTTTCATAATCGTTTCATCTTGAAATTCAACATGAAAAAATAGCACTTAAGATATCTGTCTAGACCTTAGAGATAATCAATCAGCATTGTTGCAGGTATATCGACCAGAATAAGAAGACATACATTGATAATCTGCGTGAAGCTGTAGCTATAAAATCTGTGTCATCATGGCCAGATTCTCGTGAAGATTGTATAAAGATGATGAAGTGGATGCAGGAAAGAATGCAGACACTTGGAGCCCAGACAGAATTGGCTGCCATCGGCAATCAGACATTTATAGATGGTAAAGTTCTATCACTTCCTCCAGTTCTCTTAGGATCATTTCCGAAGGATCCAAAAAAGAAGACAGTGCTGATCTATGGACACCTGGACGTCCAGCCAGCCCTCATTGAAGATGGCTGGGATACAGAGCCCTTTGAACTCATTGAGAAGGATGGCAAGCTCTTTGGTAGAGGCAGCACTGACGACAAAGGTCCAGTTCTCTGTTGGTTGCATGCTCTTCAGGCTTTCAAGGCCATTGGCGAGGAATTCCCTGTGAACTTGAAATTCGTCTTTGAGGGGATGGAGGAGAGTGGATCAGAGGGCCTTGATGAACTTCTCTGGGCGAAGAAGGATTCTTTTCTCAATGATGTCGACTATGTTTGCATTTCTGATAATTACTGGTTGGGGACCACCAAGCCCTGCATTACGTATGGTCTTCGTGGTTTGACTTATTTCCACCTTGAAGTTACCTGCGCCAAGGCTGATCTGCACAGTGGCTCCTTCGGGGGATGCGTTCACGAGGGCATGAGCGATCTTATTTATCTGCTCAATACTCTGGTCGATGTCAATGGAAAAATTCAGGTTGAGGGTATCTACGATTCCGTTGCTAAGTTGACCGAGGCTGAGCTGGCGAGTTACAAGGATATCGAGTTCGATGTCAAGGAGTTCAAGACGTCAGTCGGTGCCAATAAACTTGCCCACAATGAGGACAAAACGCAGCTATTAATGCATCGTTGGAGGCAGCCCAGTCTCTCCATTCATGGGATCGAGGGAGCCTTCAGCGAGCCTGGAGCCAAGACTGTGATACCGAGGAAAGTTGTCGGTAAATTCTCAATCAGAATCGTTCCTGATATGAAAATTGAAGATGTTGAGGCCAAAGTAAAGGCACATCTTGAAAAGGAGTGGGCGAAGAGAGGAAGTCCGAACAGCATGAGGATCATTTTGGGGCATGGAGGGAGACCCTGGACTGAGAATCCAGATCATCCTCATTATATGGCAGCCAGGAAGGCCACCAAGCACGTTTATCATGTCGATCCGGATTTGTCGAGGGAGGGAGGCTCCATTCCAGTTACTCTCACCTTCCAGGAGGTCACTGGAAAAAATGTATTGCTATTGCCAGTTGGCTGTGGAGACGATGGAGCTCATTCTCAGAATGAGAAGCTCAATATTCATAATTACATTCAGGGTGTAAGTTGATATTAAAAAAAAAATTTTATTAGCATGCATAAGTCCTGCAATGAATTTTTCTGCGAGACTGAATTAATTCTTTTTCGCAGAATTTTTTTCGTCGGTGCATACATCAAAGAGATGCAAGAATAAACAATAACTAACATTAATAAAATCTTCTGTTCTGTTGCAGACTAAATTACTGGGTTCATATCTGTATGAAGTCTCTCGCCTGTGAAATACTGATATACCGCAACGTGGATCTCGAGATAACCTGGGAGTTTGAAAGATGAGAAATATATTTTACATTTTTGTTAATGTTTATTCCTAATAAAATGGGCTTTATAGAGGAAATGAGTAGTCTCGAAGACGCTTTTAATAAAAAAAATACAAAATTCAGAATGCTTTGTTATTTTTAATGTATATCTCTTGATGCTAGCCCCTTGATTTTCAGGACCCATCCTGGTTCCCCTCTGTAAGCATTTGTAGGTAAAGACACATCGATTCTGTCCTCCTTTGGTGTCCACTGAAATAATGGCAAGAGAATAAATATACCATTTCTTTATAACTCATGACTACAGCTCATGTTAATAATTGATAATTATCCGGGTATTTAGTGATAACTCTGATTCTTAAAAAACAACATAAATAAATAAATAAAATAAAAAACTTTAGTATATTCCAATAAATTTTTAAGCTCCTTTGGAGAAAGTAATACCTTCAGGCTCTCAGAAAGTCCAAGCATGGAGAATAAATATTTTTTCTTAGGAAGTAGTGCACCAAGCTTGAGAACATTATCTTGTGGCCACGTAAGGATGATGGCGTACAGGTTCAAACGATCTGCACTCATTGTGTACCAAGTATCACCAGTTATTGTATCATTCTGAGTTGTCCACGGTCGAGTTTTGTAAATCGCCTCACCATTGGTCTTTAACCAGCGACCTAGCAATCCAATCATCCAGGTCGATAAAAAGTTCGTTAAACTTCAAAAGCGGGAACAAATTACCGATTGCTCTGAGTCGATCTTGAAAGATGGGGGAAATGACTCCATCCTTCGAGGGTCCCACATTCATCAGAATATTTCCTCCACAACTCACAGTGCTCACTAACTCCTTGATTAACGCTTCAGTGGTATAATAATCCTCAAGAGGAGCATTTCGTCGGAATCCCCATGACTTTCTGTCAATTGTCATTGCATTCTCCCACTTGTGTTTCAAGAGTTTTCCTGAAAATTGTTCCTATCACAATAGCGAAGATAAAATAAAACAATGATGAAATTACCTGGATTAAATCTGTCGAAACAATTATAGAAACTCCCGTGTTTACAGCCAGTGCCAATTCCCCATCGATCATTCACGAGGACAGTGTCTCTGACTGGGCTCTCGTTAAACAACCAGACCAAAAATTCTTTGGACTTCCAATAGACCTCTGGAGCTTCCCAGTCGCCATCGCTCCAGAGTACCTCAGGCTTGTACTTCTCAACTATCTCGTAGATCTCTGGGAGTACTTTATTCTGAACGAAAATATCAGTACTGAAGTTGTTTGACTTGTCTATTAAGTACAGTGGATTGAACCATTCATATAAAGAATGGTAAAGGCCAAAATGCATGTCTTTTTTTGTTCTCACAGCATCTGCCAATTCACCTGCACACAAATGAATTATGATTTTATAACACAAATTCCTTAGAATTGTGTAATTGGCAAGTGTGGGGACGAGTCTACTTCATGAATGAAACTTCTGAAAATTAAAGGACAACCTAATGTGTTTAATCACCAACTAAATCCCGATGCGGTCCAACGTCCATCGAATTCCAGCTGAAAGAGTACTTCGAGGGCCAGAGGGTATATCCCTCATGATGTTTACTAGTCAGAACAATGTACTTAGCTCCAGCTGCGTCAAATAGATCGACCCACTCAGTGGCATTGTAAAATTCCGCAGTAAAATCACTAGCAAAATCCTGATATGAAAAATCTGGCTTGTAATTTTTCTTCATAAAGCTCTGGAGTATGGACGAACCCCCTGCAAATAAATATTCAAGTTCCAAGTGCCTGAGATATTTATTGATAACTTTTTACACACCTTTCCAATTAGTCCAGAACCACTCGGAGCCGAAACTGGGGACACTAAAGACTCCCCAGTGAATAAAAATTCCGAATTTTGCATCGTCGAACCAATCAGGATTTTTTCTGGCATCTAAACTATCCCACGTTGGGATGAAAGAGCCTGTGGAACCACTCGAAATAACTTCAGGCTTCTCTGGGTAATTGGTGATAATGTATATATCCTTATCCCACTTTGATTGCACCACTACTATGAGACAAAGTGCAATTGATATGCGCAATATCATATTGATTGTAAAGAGATTTTCCTGTCGGCAGACTCAGGAGGAATCACTGGTTCAGTAGTTTTTATATATTCGCTGTTATAATCTTATCCGTGACATGATATCAATCATCGCAAGATCCTGGAGATTTCACTGTAAATAAAAGGTTTTATTGATTATTTGATTGAAAATCGAGAGTAATTGTTATCTATTACTGACCTGATGATTGTAAGGATATACGATTCTGTGGACTACTCCAATGACGTTCGTTATTTAAGAGATCATTAGAATTATCCAATACTCATTAAGAATATTACGTTATTAGTTGGGCAATTATTTACTCAAATATTCTGACGTATCAGTTGCTGCAGCTTGCAGGGTAAACTCCACCGGCGAATACCTTGAGCAATCGCGAGAGACTTATCGCATTTATTTCCATTGTTGTGACAAAACAGCTGATAGATGGAATCATATGCGCATTGCATTCCACGCAGATAAAATTTCAAGGCAGTCGGAATGAACAGATTGACAATAATTTTATCTGCATTGTAGAAATTTAATTATTTCGATCCATTCAAGAGCCGATTCATAATTCATCAGAAAAGAAGTTATGGCACAAAAAAAATCACAGCTATATTCCATTTGTTTGGAAATATAATGGGTGAAATACGCATTGCAAGAAAAAAATTACTGAATATTTTTAATAGTTAATGTTCTTTATTGATTCATTCATTATTTAAAAAATCACAAATTCAGGATTTTATTTCCGACCAGCGGATCATCGAAATCGTTTTACAAATATTTTTTTTATAATTCGTTTATCTTCACAACCCATGCTGGTTGTCCTCGGTGAGCTGCGGGTGGTAGTTTTAATTTCATTCCGTCGTGCTGAAAATCGAGAGAAATGATTATTTCAACGAGTCTCTAAACGATACATGGAATATGAGAATAAAATTTTTCCAACTTCAATCGTTCCAGGATAACCCAGCATTTGATAATTTGCTGGTTTTACGATTTTTACAGCATGAAGTTCCAAAATATTGTCGCTCGGCCACTCCAAGATGATCACATAAAGGGCTTTTAAATCTTCACGGAATGTGTACCAAACATTTTTTTCTGGTGTATCACTCTGTATTAACCAGGGCGTAGAGTTGTAGATTGCTTCACCATTCACCTTCAACCAACGACCTATCAAAAAAATACCGTTTGGTAATTAGCTATTACATCTTCTACTCATCTCATTACTCCACCTAATTTTTTTTGCACTCTTATTCTATCCAATTGGATATTGTACTTATCCTATTTTAAATTTGTTTGCTCCGACGTAGAAAAAAATTAAGACTAGAACGATTTCTAATGGGTGTTTAAATTACCCCAGCACCTCTTGTATGAAAGAGACTCATTTACCTAAACTCAAGAGACGATCTTGGAAGATAGGAACGATAATGCCATCCTTGGTAGGGCCGACATTGACGAGTAGATTCCCCCCACAACTAACAGTGCTCACCAGCTCCCTTACCAGTTCCTCAATCGTCAAAAAATCCTCTAGTCGAGCATTTCGACGGAATCCCCACGACTGCCTATCAATAGTCATGGCATTCTCCCATTTATGAGGCAAGAGATGTCCTGAGGAAAGATGAATAATCAAAAAATCAATTATTTTCAAGTGATTGACTCCTGGAGTTACCTGGATTGTATCTATCAGCACATGAATAGAAGTCTCCGTGTTTGCAAGCAGTTCCTATCCCCCACCTGTCATTAACAACAACAGTATCCTTAACAGGGCTGTCATTATAAAGATAAGCAATGAATTCTTTGGATTTCCAGTACTCCTCGGAGGTTCCTCCGTCGCCGTCGCTCCAGAAGACCTCAGGCTTGTACTTCTCCACGATTTCGTACATTTCTGGGATAACTTTGTTCTGCATAAACTTGTCGGTATTGAATTTATTATTTTTGTCTTCCAAATATAAGGGATTGTACCATTCGAAGAAAGAATGGTAGAGCCCAAAGCGTAGGGTTTTTGTTGCTCTGATAGCATTTGCTAGTTCACCTGGATCGATTAATCATATGAGTTTGATGAATTTATTATAAATTAATGCCAGGGACAAAACTGATCGACAAACAGCAAATCTCTCGAGGTTCCACAGAGATATTTTGAAAATGATATTAAACTGGATTTTTTACAAAAAAATTCATGAAAGTTGAAGATTGATTGAAAATTTGAAGGAGGTCTAGTTTTTTATTATTAGAGTTCTATAAATTATTTGGATTTAGATAAATATTTAGAAATTAATTTATTCGAATGTCTTTGATTTCTATGGGTTTTTATAAGATAATTGAAGAGTTGTTAGTGAATTGTTATTTTTTAAATAAGGAATTTCAGTAATTCTCAGTGAAATACATGAGAAATTTTTAGTTTGAAACTTTTTACAGGAAATAAAATAGGGCATTCACCAACTAAATCCTTGTGGGGTCCGACATCCATGGAATTCCAGCTGAAAGAGTAATTTGAGGACCAGAGTGTGTAACCCTCGTGGTGCTTACTAGTAAGAACCACATATTTAGCTCCTGAATCTACGAACAATTTAGCCCACTCATTGGGATCAAAGAATTCAGCTGTAAAGTCACGTGCGAAGTCCTGGTATGAGAAATGTGGCTTGTAGTTTTTTTTCATGAATTTCTTTAATTCTCCCCCAATCGGATCCGCTGTAAGTGACGATGAGATGAATTTATTTAATAATCTCCGCTATTAGTTGAATTATTTGAAATTTACTTCTGGAAATTAATTGATTCTGTGAAATTTTCATAATTTTTAATAATTGTTTATGAAAATTTGACGGAATCGACTTTTACGTGTGCTTTATCATTGCTATGAATTGTATACTTTTCCAGTGATTCCAGAACCATTCAGAGTGAAAACTGGGAACACTGTAGACTCCCCAGTGAATAAAAATACCGATTTTGGCTTCATCGTACCACTTGGGGAGCGGTCGCGAGTCCAGACTTTCCCAGGTTGGAAGGTAACGACGAATCCCTCCGCGTAGTCCTTGTAAATTTTTAGGCTCGACTACACTTACATTTGTTACGAACTCCGATTGCACCGCGATAATTAGGTAAGACACTAGTAAAATCTGAATCAGCATCATGTTAAACCAGAAATGACGATTCTTTGTGAATGCAGCTGCCTGGATCCCTCAATTTGTCATTTATCTGTTTTTGTAATATCTTATCACTTGACCCCGAGTACCAAGAGGGGTGAATCTGATCGAGATAGATCTTTTTATTCATTTGCTAGTACTATCTTCTAGAATTTTATCATTATTATTGAACAGCTCTCCGATGATGGGGAGTTGTAAGTTTATCAGTTTATTTTCAGCTTTATTTTCACTCACGAATTACGCAAATTACACGTATTTTTAAATATGAATAGGTTCGTGATTGAGTCTCAGCTCAATGAAACATCTGTACTCTTCATCATTAACGGATGATTTCGATAATTGTATTGACACTGATTGATTTTATTTTGCAGCTGGTAACCATTTTTACCGTTTAATTTTAGTGACTCTATAAAATTTTAAAATTTCAGTGAATAGCAATTTCGTAACGCAGAAAATAACATTCGCCCTGTCAACTGGTCTCTCTGACAGCGGGATTGCTACTGGGGCAGTTACCGAGTCGACTGACGGGCAGACACCCCCATTGCGTGTGACGCCCTCCCTCTCTTGGGGTGCAGTACTACACGCAACACGCAATGCTGGGGTGTTTTTTTTTTATTAACCAAGTTTTTATTGCAATGCTGGGGTGTTTTTTTATTATTAACCAAGTTTTTATTGCAATGCTGGGGTGTTTTTTTATTATTAACCAAGTTTTTATTGCAATGCTGGGGTGT